GAAGGACCAACTATTAACAACCTTTAAATGGCAGGTTGCTTCTTTGTGGTGAATATAAAATTTGAGAGAGTAGGTTTGCCCAATGTAGGTATTTCAATGACATGTTTCCCTATCTAATAATCAAACCGTGCAGAGAAAAATAATTGAATTGTCCAATATGATTATTGCTGTCATTATTATCATAAATTCAACTAGTTTATGTTAGATAAAAACTTTTGCTTTAAGAGATGAAACCCTAATCAATCCCAAGATCGTTCATGTCAAACTATTAAGAGATTTAAGAATATGCAGAACCATACCTGAATCCTTGGAGACATTACCCCATTTTTGCTCTATAAGAGCAACTCCAACAAGGGTCTTAGCTTTTCCCTATATTTGAGGAGCAAATATCCCATCCTAGGAAATAAGGAGCCAAATAAGGAGCAAGTGCTCCAACAATGCTCCCCAAATAGCTCCCTATATTATTGTATTTTCTATTATTGTACTATACTATTGTATTTTTTGTCAATACTTTATGTAGATTTGTGTTTGCAATCAATGATATGTCCAAAAAATAACAAAAATGATAACATATTATTGTACTGTAGATATAGGGAGTGTCTCTTCTTGTCTTTGATTTGGAATACCAAATCAAGAACCCTATATTTGGAATACCATATAGGGAGCTTGTTGGAGCCAAATATTCACCTCATACTCCCTAAATTTGAGCTAGGACATGGGATAGGGAGCCTCTTGGAGTTGCTCTAACAACGGTTCAGTGGTAATGATTTCTAAGCGTTGCACTTGACCCCAAGCGTGACGGTTCTGCAATGCTTTTCACCATTGTTTTTGGGTTTAAAGAGCGCCTGCGCTGGAAGCGTTTGCGCTTGGCTACAATTCTGGGTGCCTAACTTTTTAATGCCCCGTTCAAACACTAAAATGTAGATTGCGTGTTTTTTGTTACTCAATCGAATCCCCAAATTAAAACCCCCACTTTCTAGGTTTCTTTCTTCTCGTCGCTACCCCATCCTCCCTTCAACGATCCATCTCCAATCCCTCTCCAACTCCGCCTCCGCCTCCGCCCCCGCCTCCTCCTACGCCACCATCCCCTCTGGCCTCGTCTGTGCCATTTCCCTCCATCCATCCTAGGGCTAATTAAGGTTTAGTCTCATATCTCTTTGACCAGCCACCCTCACTTGAAGCTGAGATCAATGTGATGTGGATATCTGAATCTCTCATCTCCAGTCTCTAAATTCTGTCTAATTTGATAACTTTTGTTCATGGCATCGCTGATTAGGCATCAGAGAAGAAACTCTAGAACCTAATTGGTGGAGGAGATTAAGATCCATAAATTGGTCCTTAGTATTTCAGTCAGAGAGAACGAAGATCCAAAATCCTCCTAGGCATCGATCGTCAATCTCTTGTTTTAGATTTAGGACTTATGAATTGCTGCACAAAGTTGAATTTTTTTGGGTGCTTATTTGGGGTTAGGGTTTCAAACCTAAATGGCCCTCTAATGGCAGGAAGCAACACATCAAGATCCCCAAATCGTCTCAGATAAAAATTTATTTGACTCTTATTTGCTCTATGACCTATCCCGATTTCTAATTTCTAGGGCTAAAATATTCAATTTGATTCTCTCACTCTCTTCCTTTGTTTATTCGCTTTCTAGGGGTTGCCGGTGGAGCATTTTGATTGGTGTCGGAGAGCTTTTGCAGCTAGTTATGCCACCATTCATGCCATCATCGCCGGATGTTACTGTGGTCTGTTATCTCTTACTAGTGTTCTTGTTCAAATGTAAAATGTTTGAGATTTTTGTTGTGACAGATCTCGGCATGCAGCGTTCACCAATTTGTTTAAACTTTTGATCAGTATTTTAGGGCGAAGGCCATTTTCGCTTCAAAAGCAAGGTCAGGCTAACTGAAGCTGAGTATTAGGTTTATGACATTCTAGAAAATAATTAATCCTCAATAACATGTTTGTTAAGGTTGGGCTATGCCCATTACATCACATATTGTTGATGTCGGCTATCTAACAGGGGAGCGTCGCACAGAAATCATTTCAAACCTCTTTTCAAAGTTCCGTTAAACAAAGTATCCTGGTTCGTGGTTGATTTTTTCACTCTATTTCGAGTCTTTGGACTGTCATGATTTTGGATTTTTGGCATGCTGGATTTTTGGCATGCCCAAGGTATTATTATTGTTGGATAAATAGCTTCCAACAATTATATCCCTCTCTGCTCCATGAGTATATTACACTCGGAATACCGAACATATTTATACGTCTCTTTCTGCCGCCTGACTATACACTTGGAATGCCAAATACCTTTTTATTTACTAGTCTCTATCTGCTGCCTGAGTATATTACCCTCGGAATACCGTATACCTTTTCATTTGCCAGTCTCATCTGCCAAGCAATTTCGTAGACAGTGTTAAAATCGTCCCTTTAACGTCACAACATATACGACGGAAATACAACAGGAATTTGTGAGGACCACTAAGAAATAGCTTAATTGCATGTAGACCCCCTGCACAATTTCATGTTGTTTCGTATATTGTCCTTAAGTTTGATATTCATGTAAACTCCTCGAAGCTGAACATGATTAGAGATTTAAAGCGAATAGAGCCTTCGTTATGGTCCGCCCTGTCTCTACCAAAAGCCTCGTTGAATACAGCGCATCATCCCAGTAGCGGAGCCAAGAATTTAAGGAAGGAAGGTTCAAAAGAATTAATAATTAAATACGATAATTTATAACTATTTTTGTACAGTTGATTAATACCAAACGTTATCATCGAATAAGATCGTTTGAGAAAGGTTGAGAATCTTACATTTTACTCTCCATTGTCAATGAAATTGTTGTTCAACCACTTAGAGCATCTCCAACCCACACTCTCCAAATATTTTCTTTTTTATTTTTTTTTTCAAAAAAGCCATATAAATTAATAATGTTGGATATAGTTTACATTAATAATTTTATTTTTAATAATTTATTTGTGAAAAAAATTATAAAGGTGTCGATGAGAGCTTTAAAATGAACCAAATATTAATAATGCAATACAACATATTAAAAAATAAAATATAAAATATTGTAATTTATGTTTGTATTTTCTTATGGGGCAAGTTAAATAGATCCCAGTATTTAAAATTTCATGTCTGATACTTATTTATTTAATTTAAAAATTAATAAATTTATAATAAAACTAAAATAAATTAATCTTAGTTTCATTTTAAAGATCTCAACGATACCTTTCCAAATATATAATAATTTCAAATATTAGATTAATAATTTTTTAACTATATTTATTTGAAATTAAACATCTAACTTAAATTACTAAGAATGAAGGAAAAGTGGTAATTTTTAAGAAATTAAATAGTTAAAAATGGCAAAATTGTAATTAATGAAGCATAAGTAGTGTTTTGGAGAGACCCTCCGAATTTTCTCTCCACCCTCCAAATTTGGAGGGTGAAATTTGGAGATCTCCAAATTTAAAGAGTGGTTGGAGATGTTCCACTCTACAAATTTGAAGATTTTGGAGATTTAGAGGCCGAACTGCATCGCTATGCAAAGGGGAGAGAAAAGATTTATTATACAAAGATTGCAATACAACATAGGAAGTAGTGCTCACAGCATTTATTCCACTAATTAATCCGTTTTTGTTCACAACAATCTGTTTCCTTTGATTGCTGCATGACTCAAACTAACGAACCGTTGAATTATTTTTATTGAGACTAGAACCACTTGAAAACTTTTACTCAACGGACCCTTTACCAGTGGAGCGCGCATCCCAATCAAGCCTCTTTTAGGTATTTAACTATGGAATACTTTTTCCTATTGCAATTAACGCAAGATGGTAACCGCGGGTTGTGGCTCTTCGGATCCCCTTAATTGGGCTAATGAAATCTCATTTTTGAGGTGGAGCCAAGACCCCTGTGGGCCTTAATCGGCTCTGCCTCTGCGCCATCCAATGTGGCTTGAAGAGCTACAACAGCATTTAGATCAATTTCAAGATGACTATCTGGCAATATCAAACATAAGTAGTAGTAACCCAGTAGAAATTAACCCCCTTAAAAATACTAACAGAACGCGATAGCACAGACGGTCTAAGTGAAATTAACCCCCTTAAAAATGATTGATAGAAAGTTATAAATTTCGATTATAACACTACTATATAACTTCGAGAAGAGGGATATCCCAGCAGCAAACTATGTTTTATCGAGGAGCGTGTTGACTCTATTATACGTACGTATGAGATTAAAGTGCAATGCAGTAAGATACATAGAGAGTGTCAAAGATGCACGGAAAAATGGTAGACTGATGCCATGCTATGAAAATTCACCCGGTTTTCGTGCAGAAGAGAAGCTATCTGATGGATATCCTCGCTTTCATTTTTTTTTTATCTGTAGGAGGTGGTCATATATTCTTTACAGAAGTTTTGTTATAGCCTGATACCTGTGATGCATATGTATGAGCGGGGACAGCGGCATATCCCTAATTAATGAGAGCCTTGTATGCATATTGACGCGTGTTTTTAGATTTGAAGTAGTCAAGATGAAGACAAACTGCAGTCTCAAGTGGGTAAGTGACCGATCACGTTCGTGGCGAAGTTAGGCTGGTGTACATCTAGGGCATGTTTTGTGTTCCTTGCGTCAAGACAGAAGAAGCAATATTCTTATACTTCAAATCCTAGTTTCTTTATTGCCTATCGCTTTTCCTATTCGTAACTTGGCTTCACTTGCAGTATTTTGGTGGAATGTATAATTGTATGATAGCTTTTGTCTGTTTTTTAAGATGCCTTTTAAGTAGATGCCTTCACGCAAATTTTTTTTTTTTTCTGTATTGTTTTATTTTGCTCTTATAATAACGTATGGATCAAGTTTTCATCTACATTAAAAAACAGTCTCCCAATTTATAAGGAATAGTATTAATCATGTGGCATGTGGGGATGCGGTTGGAATATTATTCCCATCCCAGGATTCCCCTTGAGCTATGAAAAGTTGAAAGTCGTTCCAAAGGCCGAGGATAGAATGCTTTATTTATTTATTATTTTTGTATCAGATGCAGACATCCACCTCTGCTGCTATTGGAAAATAATACACTAAATAAGCCCGCATTAATTGTGGTTGCACGAGACAAGCAAATCTAATGACAATTTTGATTGGATGTAGCGATCTCGTTCACAAACGCCCTTAGATTTCGATCGGACGATCCTCCTTCATTGGTGGCCTCCGCAGCTCTCTCCTTCCATAGCTCCGCTTTCCTCCTAATCTCTTCCCCTCTTTCGCCATCTCCCATAACCAAGTCCAAACACCTCATCAGCTCATCACCATCCAAGACACCATCTTCATTGGCCTCACCTCGGACTCCGGTTCCCCATGCTCTCTCAATAGACATCGCATTCGTCACTTGATCCGTCCACTGCGGCACCGCAACTGTCGGCACTCCAAACGCGAGGCTCTCCAGCGTCGAATTCCATCCACAGTGCGTCACGAAACATCCTACCGAAGGATGAGCCAGGACTCGCGCTTGCGAGCACCACTCCACGACCATTGCACTCTCCCCCGGTTCCTCCAATTCGAGTACTCCTTCGAGCCTGCAGTCTTTTCTCACCACCCACAAGTACGGCCTTCCGCTCGCTTTCAACCCTCTCAAAATCTCATCCATTTGCTCCTCCTTTAGGACCGCTAAGCTCCCGAACGACACATAGACGACCGACTTCTCCGGCTTTGAATCTAGCCACTGCATGTATCCCTTCTCATCGGGCTTGAACAGATCGAAACCTGACGCTTTCGCACTACCCTCCGAAACCGACTGCAGAACTGGACCTATTGCAATCACATCCGTGTCGCCCACGGCAGAGAGAGCATCGGCTTCTAGCTCATCGAACGTGTTCACCAAAACCTTCGGCTTTGTCGGGCTCTTCTTGACCTCGCTGTCCAAGGTCAAGAACGCCTCCTTCACCACGGTGTGGAGCGCCGAGTAGAAATCACCTGAAGTGCTCGGCACAGTCAAGAACGACGGAATGTCGCGGATGCGCATCGGTGGCAGTCCGGGCAGTTCCACCGTAAACAAGGGGTCCTTAGAGTGCGCGGCTATGAGCTGCTCGTAACCATGAAAAGCATGGTATATATGAGAAAACGGTGGCAGGCTGGATCCAGTACTGGGCCGACGGAATCCCGTGCTCGCGGGCCACGTCGGCGGCCCATGACAACATGAAGGCATAAATCACGCAGTCGACCCGTCGGCCGCGAGAGTTGAGCGTGGCGATAAACCGACGAGAGGCTCTTCGGGCTGACGGTTTTGGAGTTTGAAAGGAAGAGGGCTGGGTCATCGACCCCGGCCTTATATCCGTCGTCGAAGCATCGGAGAAGGGGAAGTAGGAGCGACTGCGCCCGCCGTCGTCGACTTCTTGGTCGGCGGAGGTGAGGTTAGGGAACATTATGCGGTGGGCGGAGACCGCGGTGGAGAAGGTGATGTGGGCCCCGGTGGTCTTGGCGAGGCGGTCGGCGAGGTGGATGCACGGGTTTATGTGGCCTTGGGCCGGGTAGGTTGTTATAAGGAAGTGGGTCTTATGATGAGTTTGCTCCATTTGTTGTTGTATGAGAACTGAGAGCTAGTGGTACTGATCATTTGGGCTTGTGCGTGGAAAGTTAGGGAGTTAGATATAGGGGAGAGGAAGGCGGAAACCGGAGTTGCTATGACGTGTGGAGTTACGTAAACATGCTGTGTTTGCTTGCGCGGAAGCGATCCCTCAAGCGAGGATGGAGACAGGATGTTGGTTTTAAAATGACGTGAAGATTTCTGACAACTAAAATTCACAAGTTATATTTCGGTAAAAAAAATATCATAAAGTTTCTAAAATTTAGACGTTGCTACTATCGATCATGCAAATGTGAATATTTTTACCTGAATGTTTCTCTATGATACTTACATACTAATTTTAGAGTTTTATAACCATTAGTATTTGTTAAAACTTTCATTAGAAATATCTCAACTCTATTTTAAAGTATAATTAAGATAAGTTTAAGAAAAAAATTTAGTTAACTTTATAGCAAATTTAACAAATACCCATGGTTAGAAAGTTCTAAAATTGACATGCAAGTATTATATGGAAGCATGTAAATTTTAGAAACTTTATGATATTTTATTGTACCATAATGCAACTTATGGTATGCAATTTAGACGATTTTAAAAATGATGAGAAGGGCGCTTTGAGTTTTTTCTTGCCGGCCGGTCAATTATTGATTAGCCCATTGAGAAGGAAACAAGACCAACGTGGCAATATGCAAATTAGCCAGTTCAAAAATATATAGAGAACAAAAAGACTAAACAGACCTAGCTGAATCAACGAGTCGCGCTGCTCTGGAGGGCAAGTCAACGTTATGTTGTCATAACAAAAAAAGATGGTGGTACAATCAGATGATGAAGATATGTGGTTTATCGTGAAATGCTATTTTGTTCCGTTCATTCCAGACGTAGTAACGGCAAAACATGATGCAATCCCATCGACTGAGCGCACGTGTTTGGATGCTCTACTACCAAGACGCCTTAAGCGGCCGTCGACGGTGAAAATGGAATGAAATAATAGTAGGCGGGAATAACTGCCGTCCTTCGACTCGTCAGGTCCAAGGATGTCTTTTGACTAGGTTATGCGAGATGTCGGCTGAACAAAGGGCTGAGTCGGATCGTTTGTGGAGTTAATTGAGGGGTTGGCTGAGTAGTACTGCCTTTTGACTCGACTACGTAAGTTTTCAGCCAATCAATTCAGCGGTGCTGAGATGGATGTTATCTTGGTCTTGAATTAGTCTGGTTAGGCATACTGCAAGACGTGTGTTAACTTCTTCATAGAGATTAATATTTAGTAATTTAGGGGTTGTAACAAAAACTCAACATTTATAAATAACCTAAAAATTTCAATGATAAAATAAAATTGAAAACTTTGGCGACAGCCCCTTGAAAAGTTTTGAATTTATAAAAAGCACCCTAAACTTTTCAAAAATTGTAAAAATCACCCTAAGAAAATCAAAGCTTACAACAAAAAAGTAAAAATTTCAAGCCTAAAGCAGAACCCTGAAAATGTACGAATTACAAACAGCCTCCTAAAGTTTTAGAATTTGTAGAAAAATCCCTAAACTTTTGAAGTTGCAATAAACACCCTGGAAAACATTCAGATGTTGTAAAAATTACCCTAAAAATTTGAAATTTACAAGAAACACCCTGGAAAGATAAAACCTTAGATAGAGGTGTTCTTTGTAATTTCATATTTTGAGGCTATTTTCTGTAATTTTTGTACCTATTTAGGGTGTTTTCTTGAAATTTGAAGTTTTAGGAGGCAATTTGTAATTCCTAAATTTTACAATATATTAGTCGCATGTTTGAAATTATTAGGGTGCTTTTCATAATTTTTAAAATTTTTAGGGTGCCTTTTTTGCAACTTTTGAAGTTTCACAGTGTTTTCTACTAATTCCAAAATTTTCAAGGAGCTGTTTGTGTTCCATAATTTTTTATTTTTTATTAATAGGTTTGAAATTTTTAGGTGGTTTCTAGTAAATCTTGAATTTTTAGTGTTTTTTTGCAACTTTTGAAAATTTAGGCTGTTTTTTTCAAATTTAAAATTTTTAGGAGGTTGTTTTTTTCCTTAGATTTTCTATGTATTGTTTTTAGTTTATAATTTTTAAGTTATTTTCTTAAATTTTGAATTTTTAGGTTGTTTTTGTAGTTTTTGAAAGTTTTAGTGTGTTTACTAGAAATGACAATTTTTAGGGGCTGTACGTAAGGACTTTTTGATTTTTTTTTTTTTAAGTTTTTTGAGTTGAGAGTGAAAGAGATTCGTTTGGATTAAATTTATCCTTGTTAAAAGGTTATATCAAATATAAGAATTTGTTCCCCACTAATTTTCTGGGATAATAATTACCATGTAAAGTTTAACCACTTTCTTTAACCTCATACCAAACACTCCCTAAGGTCTAGCAAGGGGTTAATAACAATAAATTGACCATCAAGAAAAAAGAGAATAGAGGAGAAAAAAGGGGACAAAGAAGGCTAGTGATGATGACTCTTCACAGTGGTTTCATAGGTTCTTCGCTGTTAACATTGTTGTACTTTCGTAATTATTCTCAGTTTATTGAAGGAATTAGGGCTATTATTTCATCTGTGATTTATTTATGGAGGGGAAAAGAGAAATAAGATTGTAGTCTTTTTCAACATAGTGGATCTCTTTTCGGTGGTACGTCATGTATGTTGAAAAAGATTACAACCTTATTTCTCTTTTTGGCGGTCGAGAAGAATTATTGGAGTTGCTTATTCCGCTTGACGTGTGATATGATAATTATTCTCGGTCGCCAACAAAATTTAAACTAATGTCTTAGACATTTGTCATGTGTAATTGAGTCTTGATGGGAGAACTTTGTGCGCAACTTTTCTTTTTTATAGAGGTTGCTTGGTTGTATGAAAATAGATTTGCAGATGTAAATTTAGGGGCTGTTTGGTTCGTTTCCTTGATATAGAGAAATACAATTCCATGTAAAGAAACACAAGTTTTGAGTTTTCTAAACTTTTCCAAGAAATAGATTGTTTTGCTTTGGTTCGCACATAAAAAATGGTGGGAAACCAATGTATTTATTTTTCTTGTGTTTGGTTCGCATGGAAAAAAAAGGAAAACTTTTGTAAACAAAGCAGAGAAGGAAAAAAATCTGACGTGGCAGAGTTTTCATCAATTTCACTTGGTTGGGGAAGGAAATCGGAGAGGGAAAAAAATCTTAGTTGGCGGCGATTTCAGCAGAGTTTTCCCTCTTCCATCCGAGCGAACCAAAGCGGCACAAAGAAATGGACGGAAACAAAAAAAACTGATGTGGATGACTAAAAATCTGACGTGGAGGACTAAAAATCTGACGTGGAGGGGTTTTCCGAGTTTTCCACCCCTTATAATAGCGAACCAAACAGCCTCTAAGAGGTAATTTTACTTACAAATTGTAAGAAAGAAGCTGCGACAAATATTTTAACCATTCAGAGGAAAAGTGGCAGCCTCTTCAAAGTAAAATTTAAAAATAAAATTACTTTCATCAAATACATCTTCCACAATGAAATTGAATATCCAAAATAATGAATTTAAAGTTAAATTGTACATGCAATATTTGCTACAATTTGCTTTCACAGCGAACCAAACAATCTCTAAACTAGGGTTGTCACGCATAGCGTGTGCCCTTGATAAATCAAAAGGAGTTTTTCTATTTTAGCACTGTTGGATAGCGGATTCCTAATCTATTTTGGTAACATGAGGTTATTAGGATTCCTAATCTATTTTGGTAATAGGTTATTAGGATTCCTAATTTGATTTGGCTTTTGGTTTAGAATTCCTAGTATGTTTATGATTTTAGGATTTCGGAAGAGAGAATTTGGAGAAGAAAATTAGAGATATTTGGAGCACAGAAAAGAGGTATTTTCTGAGCTATTTGTTTAGGGTTTTTTTTGGAGAGATTAAGAGCTTGTTGGTGAGATTAGTTTGTTCCTTCGATTGATTTGTAATCTCAGTTTGTACTCTTTCTCTATTAATGAAAACACTATCCCCTTTCTTGCCCCGTGGACGTAGACAATTTACCGAACCATGTAAATCTTTTGTGTTATTTGGTGATTGTGCTTGTTTATTTGATTGTGATCTCTCTTGTTTGGATTGTGTGTGATTCGACCGCTTCCGTGCCGCTCACAACAATTGGTATCAGAGCTTCGGATTCGGCTTGAGGCTTGTTTGAAGGATTCTCTAAAAGGATTCCTATTTGAAGAGTTAGATCGATAACATGGGTGAAGCAAGCACAACATAATCGTCTCTTACGAAGACGATACATAGTTTGAGCATCAAGAACATGAAGATCGATGTTCCGAAGTTTGATGGTAAGATCAATTTCGGTTTGTGGAGGTGCCAAGTGATGGATGCGTTGGACACTCAAAACTTATAAGAGACTCTTGAGTTGCAAGAGAAACCTGCTGATATGAAAGAAAATGTTTGGAAGACGATGAATAGTAGGGCGTGTAGAGTTATTAGGTCATGCTTGACGCTGAATCTTATTTATGATGTGATGAACGAGACGTCGGCGAAGAACAATGGGCCGCCATGTCGGACATGGCGGCCGATATTGCGGATTCGGAGCCTAGCCGCCACGAAATTGTTGAATTAATGCGTATGGTGTTTTTGAGGTCATGTCGGGGACATGTCGGAAAATAGCGGATATATCGGGCGACATTTAAGCCATCAAATATCGACCAAAATTCAGAAATATCGGTTTCACATTGACATGTTGAAATCATATGATTTGCAATATCTTTCACCTTCTATTTATGTAAAGTTTCACATTGTTTCCCATCCACTACCCATATGGGTGCTTGTTGTAGGTTTTAATTACTTGTTATTGCATGTGTTTTCTTTATAATGGAAGGCTATAAGAACACATGAATTTATTTGTATTAGGTACACATATACTTCGGTTTTACTAGTTTCTTGTTTGGAGAAATGAGATATATAATAAAAATCCTGCAATTGTTAGTCGATGCAGTTAAGTAGTTTAGAATGGCAATTACGAGTTTAATTTTCAATTTCAGTAGAATTTTCTTTTTGTTCCTACTAGTATAATGCACACGCTTTGTATGTGAACATTTTTTTTGTAATCTTTTTCTTTGAGTGTAAAATTATGAAGTGA